TTTTTCATTTTAGTCACATCTTTCTGATCCATAATCATTCTAACTGACACATGAAAAAACTTTAGCATTTCTTCCAAACAAGTTAATTTTCCTTTCATACAAAATGTAGGGTTAGGCTAAGGTTAGCACTAACGACGACTTAGACCTCAGAGCGTTAACAAGAAGAACTCATTCTGAGTATGAATCATTTAAATACAAGCATCTGGACATTTAAAATTTTGGCTATGTTGTTGGGAATCTTAAAGTCTAGATCACACGTGGGCAAAGGAGGGCCAGGAGGTCCCTGAAGTATCTCGATACAGTCCACCACATGTTCAAAGGAGAATAAAATGAGCATCTAGCGATATATACATATACAGATGCAGTTATAAATTGTAAACTGAAGCAGTATGCAGAACACATAAAGGTTATACTGTCATGATGTTATTCTGTACTTGCTGTCCATTTAGTTTTTGGCTTCTGTACCTTAAATGTTGCACTCAGCCCTAACAGGTCATTTAATTTCTGCTAGTGATGCAGAAACATCTCATAAATATTGTTCTTTTTTCACCTTTTATTCTGTATAAAACAGCTGTTATTTGAGCAAACATTATTTAAAAAGTTTTTAGATAGGGATTAATACACATGTTGTGCTCTAGTGAAAAATAATGACAGGACAGGAAACAATGAAGCTCCAAAGTGCACAAAGATAAAAAATACCAGGTATCAGATACCCGCACAATGTTGTAAGTGGGATCAATCAGACTCATCCTTTTAAAATATACTTTAAAGCTTTAGTTTGAAGGTAATTAGAGAGGTGCCTTTTATGTTCTGCTCATGTGTTCTGCAAATGCACATTTGATGCTGCTTTTATCTTATTAGTATTCGTATTAGTGCGGTGTTTACAGAACTGTGTCTGAGGCATTTCACATTGGCACCTCATTTTTCCTCCTCGTCTTTCTTCCTTTTATCTCCTCCTCATTTCCTTTCCATGCCCTCCATCATTCTTTTGTCTGCCTCCGACTCCTCCTGCTCGCCCTCTTATTCCACAGCATCTCACTCTTCTCCTCTTTTCACCCTTTTCGTGACTACTCCAGTGGGGTGACACCAATGTGAATTATTCATGTGAGGAAATATATCTATGAAGCAACTCCTGCTGTTTAATAATTCATGTTTAAGCATTTAATTAGAGAACAAAGCCTTTATAAGAAATATTTGTCTATATTTGAGCATATTAGAATCATCTTTTTTGCCATCACTTTATAAGGAGCTTTACAAAATCTCTTTATTTTTAGTGTGCAACTTTGCTGATACCCCATCAGAATAACTTGATTTTTTTTAATAACTCGCTTTGTATTGTTCAAAAACTGGCTTGTGCTATTTTGGTAAGAAGGAAATTGTGCTCTGTCACTTTCCATTTTTAAGCTTTTAAATGAAGATCAAAACCCTGTCTTTGCCTTTTTGTTTGCAGCTGCTGATGCTGTTGTTTGAGTCCCAAAGTATTTTTAGGACATTAAACCAGTTTTTTTTCTCTTTTCCTGATTCCTAAATCAGATGAAACGGGAGCTAGTGCTTAGGGATGGATTGTGACCTTCAAAATTGTTACAAAGCCTAAATTTATGCATTTGAATGTGTTTGTGTGCCCAGGGGTATGCGCATGTGTGGGTGTGTTTTGCAAACATGTTTTTGGATCACATTATGAATGTGTGTCAGCCTGTTTATGCACGTGCCTCTGTGTGTGTGCGTGTCTGTGCAGGCGAGGGGGTGTTTGTTTCTCGCCCTCACTGATTATTTGTGTGAGCGGCGTTGGATCTCTGAGGGGGGAGTTTCGGCTTTAATGTGTGGGTGTCTAGTGATGCAGAGTTGGTTTTATCTAGACAGTTGGTGTCCTGTATAAACATACAAGTGTGCACACAGACACACATAAACACACAAAGACACACATACGTGCAGAGTATGTTGTTTTCCTTGCAAGGAATCTTTCCTTTGATGAGTCATAGACGCTCTCCTAGTAGCATCTTACATTTATCTTATTGCCTGCGTGAGTCAGTGTCTACATATAGTGTGTGTGTGTGTGTGTGTGTGTCTTTGTGTTTGTAGGCAGTATGCAATCTCATCTTGTCTGCATCCTAGTATGTGTCCATTAGCAGCTAAATTTCCTTTCCGTTCGTTCTTAAGTGAGACACTGAACTTACTAAAGCACTTACAGTATCTAAAACTTAAATGCTTAAATTGCTGAATGGTTATGTGTAGGGCTGTGCGATATAACCAAAGTCTCATATCCCAATATAAGAATTCTTTCGTCCCGATAACGATACAAATCACAAAAATGTAACATTTTCTGTAAATTATGTGAATCTCGGGCAGCTCGACTTGCGGGAAGTGTTTCCAGCTGCGCGTCATGTAGCTGGAGTCGAGTGTTTTAATAGATGCATGAAACTATACAGTTTTAGACATAAGTTCTAACGGCCGCCGTTTCTTTGTGAGTATTTATTACACGGCGTGCTGCGGGGAAAAGCCTGTTCTAACGTTTGAGTCTAAGGTTTATTTTTTAGCACCTGGCGGCTCTTTTTTACTTCTCATCCGTAAACAATCTGCTCTTTCACGTGATTCAGTTTATTTTGAAAAGTCTCAACAGGATCTTGAGCTTTATTGTGAAAGGTTTATGTGGAACATAAACAAGCGGACACGCGATGGTGTTACCGTCGTTGTTGCTAACCACAATGCATAAAAACAGGCGCTTGTCCGTCCGTAGTGTGGTTATATTAAATATAAGAGAAAGAGAGAACTTCAAGAAATTAATATAGCCACTACAGTGACCATCAAAACAATGAAAAAATATTGCCGTAAACAGTATTTTTTGCGACACCACGAAACAAACGATAGCGTAAAATGAAACGATAGATGTTTTTATATCGTCATCCAATATATATCGAACAGCTCTAGTTATGTTATTGCCCTTTACTTTTTCAGCGCCTGTATGTAAATTTGATCATAGGGACTTAAATATTGTTGAATTATAAAGTGTCTCAGTGTCAACTAGTGTCTTGAGTTTAACCATAAAGCAGCCAAGCTATTTTATAGTAACAGTTTTATTATAACCTCATATTTATACATAACTTAATCTACCGTAAGACGTAATAATTATCCACGACACACAAGAATCGCTGTTCCTAGAAGATTGCTCAGAATTTAGTGAAACTTGCACACAGTGGTCATATACGGGGTTCAAATTCACTCAGAATCACATTTTCTTCTACATTAAAGTTCAGTTTAATTCAATTCACTTTTATCTATATAGCACCAAATCACAACAACAGCCACCTGAAGACGCTTAATATTGTAAGGTAAAAACCCTACAATAATACAGAGAAACCACAACAGTCAGACGATCCCCTATGACCAAGCACTTTAGCAACAGTGGGAAGGAAAAACTCATTTTTAAGAGGAAGAAACCTCTAACAGAACCAGGCTCAGGGAGGGGCAGCCATCTGTGGCAGATGATTGTCATTGACATTCTGGTTTAAAATAGTTGTGTTTATGTTTATCAGACAAACATGTTTATGTGAGAAAGGAGTTAACCTGAAAGATTTCCTTCACATGAACTGTTGTTATTGTCAGTTTGGGTGTTAACCATCTGCCTTTAAGGCTTGCTAGCTATGCAGCATTCTGTTAGCCCATGTTCACTGCAACTCTGACTCTAACATGCATAACATGCATCTTTCTCAGCCCTACTACAGTTAGTAACTTTCCTTATTTAGCTCTCAACAAGTTCCTAAGGAGTTCTGTTTTCTATGACAATGTCAGGCATTTTCCTCATGGGGGCACCAACACAAAAGGGAGGAACCAGTGACGTTAAAAACACCACCCACAAAAGATTATAGTTTTCGGTTTTTAATCATGCCAGCTGCCGATTGAATGGATGAATAGTTTGATAGCTGCCGAAATGTTTTAAATATAGAGCGCAATCTGTGAGTGCCAACTTAAGAATCTGTCATTTTATGCTTCTTCCGTGTTGGACGTCAGTAGACAGGCATCAGATTTAATGTGTGTAATCTGAAATTGTGAACTTGAAGTGAAAATGTGTAATTGAAGTATTAAATGTTGGGCCAGGAGTATTAGTCACATTCACAGCGGCAAGAAAATAAAAAGTTCAGGCTCTGAGAGAACAAAGGCGACTTGATTAAGTCTCTCATTGTCTTATAAAAGCGACGTGCCTGAATCACGAACAGCTGTCACTTTACCAGCTAGAAGCAGATACAAACGTATCATATGCCATCTCTGAAAGTGTGACTGTCAGCTGACGTCAAGAAGAAAGGAGTGTCCATGATTATTAAGATGACATTTTAGGATTCTTAGCTCTGATTAAGGTTGTGTTGAAACCTCCAAAAGGAGCCTCTTCTTGCCCCATACTTACAGATGGCGTCCAAACTGCAGTGCTTTGGATGAGAAAAGAATACTAACGTGACTCTGGAGGCACACTGGCCCTGTGTCCCTCTCATCTGCTTTATAAGCCGACAGCCCTTCTGATTTATATCATGCAATTTTACAGAGGATGGCCAGGCTGTAAGGACAGCAGGCAGACACCTCAAGGGAGTTTGATTCAATTTTTTTGGCTGATGATTTAAAGCGCCAGCAGCCAAAAGAAGTCATGTATAAAACATGTTTAATTCCCACTGCAGGACTTTAAATCACATCAGGTGAGCTTTGGAAAATGTGACCTGGTGTGCTTAAATACTTTATATCTTTATATGTAGGTTTACCCACCACTTTTTTCCAGACTTAAATATATTATTATATATAAGGCTGATATTTTTGCAGACTTTCATGGACTTTACAACTTTTAATAGAAAGAAAATGAAAGTAGAAGCAGCTGGTGGTCAACACATTTTTGCTTTACATGCAAAATATTCCCAGTTTGATTCCGGGTGGAGACACAAATCCAATGTCGGGGTTTCACAAGCCAGTTTAATCCTAGTGACGGTCCCAAGCTCAGATAAAGGGGAGGATTCCTTCAGGAAAGGTATTTAGTAAAAAAAAAATCTGTGCCGAATCGAACATGCAGAGCCGTCTGCTGTGGTGACCTATTGGGAAATAAGAGAGCAGTTAAAATGACTTCGTAGTAGTGTAAGCAGAAGTTCCTGAACTCAGATAAGTTTCTTGAAAGTTCTTCTAAAGATAGTCATGTTTAAGACATTTGCTCTTTTCTACCAATTTTACCATTGTTATTATTTTATTATTATTATGATGCTTCCGATTTTGCCCAAATACCTGAAAAACTATTGACATTCACCTTCAGGCTTAGTTATAATTTCTAGTGCAATAGCAAGTGTTAGCTTGCTAAGCTAAGAGGTTTTACGTAATAAAATATGTGCATTACATTAGCATGTATTCACTGCCATTATACCGTATGTTTGCATGCTGTTGTTAAAGGGTGTCATACTTTGGGAAAACACATTTATATCTTACAGTTGACTTTTTCTGGTTTGCAGGACGGTTTCACTCCGCTGGCGGTTGCACTGCAGCAGGGCCATGACCAGGTAGTTTCCCTTTTGCTGGAAAATGACACCAAGGGGAAGGTCCGCCTCCC